CAGTAGTACAGTAGCACCGTCGCCAAGTCGGAGAAGGCGTCCACTTTGGTGAAGAGTGCATTGTCGTATGGGAATCGGTGCGGCGGTGCATTGCCCGGTTTCCACTCCGCCGTCAGTGCGTTCTTGAGCATTGTGGGATTGGCACGCTCCATCTCGAGCGACATTGTGGCGTAGTGTTCCACGCAGAAGCGAATCGAGAGGCTGAGGAAGTTGGCGATTTGGTGGTTGTCCAGCTGTCCCTGCTTGCGCAGCGTGAAGATGTACTCGTACTGCGGCGGGTTCCTGCTTGCCGGTGCCGCCTCTGTTCCGGAGGAGGGTGACGAGGAGGACTCCGCCGGTGTGCTGTGCGCCTTCCGCCCGTTGATGCTCATCCACTCTTCGAATAGGCGGCGCACCTTCTCCACATCATCTCCATCACGCTGCAACTGCGATGGGACAATCAGCCGTCGTACTTGCGGCTCCACAAGCGACGAAAGCGGTGGATATGTCTTCATGACAGGTGCTGCATGGCTGCCCGATGCCGCGGCGCCACCAGCAGCCCCCTCCGGGTGTTGCGCATGATGCACATTGGACTGCTGTTGCTGTTGTTGTTGTTTTTGCTGCTGCTGCTGCTGCTGTTGATGGTGTTGTTGTTGCTGCTGTTGTGCCTGCTGCTGCTGCTGCTTCGCTTGAGCCTCTTGATGGGAGGCAGAGGAGTTTTCCTGCACATTTGCGATCGCTTCCANCGGCGCCACCAGCAGCCCCCTCCGGGTGTTGCGCATGATGCACATTGGACTGCTGTTGCTGTTGTTGTTGTTTTTGCTGCTGCTGCTGTTGATGATGTTGTTGTTGCTGCTGTTGTGCCTGCTGTTGTGCCTGCTGCTGCTGCTGCTTCGCTTGAGCCTCTTGATGGGAGGCAGAGGAGTTTTCCTGCACATTTGCGATCGCTTCCAGCTTCGCTAGCGTCTCCTTCATATCCCTGGTGCCGAGCAGCTTCTCATGGATCATCACCTTTGAGATGACCTGTCCGGCGAAGTCCACCACCGGCTTCCCTTCTGGGTTCGCGTGGGCCGCCTTCGAAAGGGCGTCGTCAAACTTTGCAACGCTAAGCACCTTAATGCGTAGCAAGTTGACCGCGACGTCGGCATGCCGCCACCTCTGTTCTTCCTGAAGGTAGAGCTGCGTCAGCTCCTCACGCACCGACTCTCCGCCACGCTCAAAGCACGTCTGCAACACGAAAAGGTACACCTCATTGAGGAGGCTGCACACATTCTGGTGGCGAATGGCATTGGCATCGTTCCCTCCTGATGGGTCTGCCTGCTTCATGGCGTCTGCGAGCACCATCAGCTTGTGCAGCACATGGCCGACACAGTAGATGGCAGTCTCGCTTGTAATGATGTTGGAGATGCCGATGACTCGCATACGGATAATGTTGTGGCTTTCCCCGAAGAGACCATTGGCAAACTCAGGGCTTGTGAGCGAAAGCACCTTGCAGTTCTCTGTGGAGTAATGCAGCACCGTGGCGTCCTCAATTGTGCGAAGGTACGCCGTCAGCAGCTCTACGATAGGCATATTGTTGCTGAACTCCTCGTACACCAGCCGCTGCGGGGCCGGCACAGAGCGTGGCGGCCGCAGCACCTCGCTCATCTGCATGAGGAACTCCTGCATCTCGTACTGCTCCTTCGGGATGCGTGGCGGCTCACGTGCGTTGATGGCGTCGATCTTCTCCTTGATCACCGGCAGTAGCCGCTCACGCACCTTCTTCGCCGCCTCCTCCGCCGCCTGGTACTCCAGCACGCGGATGCACAACTCCATGTTGTTGTCACGCACTGTCGTGCAGAGACGGGCGCGGCGCTCCATCGCGCTGGGAACGGCCGCCTCGATGACGTGATCAGCGAGCGTGCCGACATGCTTCTTGAGCAAATCCGCTAGCGCGTCGCGTGTGGTGACGGTGCAAAGGTTGGCCGCCAGCGAGCGCGCCATCATCTCACCGGCGCGCAACATCACGACCGCGTCAGGGTCAAAGAGGAAATCCTTTGTCACGATGCTGTACGCCGTCACGGCGGCGATCATCGCCACCCGCTGAATGGTGACCTTCGCATCCTGCACCACCCTGTCCAGTGTGTGGGCCAGCGATATCTTGTACGCGGGGAGTCGGCTCGTAAAGAAGGCGGCGTCCTCCTCGCTCACGCGCACAGTCTCAGCCGTAATGACAATTGGTGGGCGCCTTGGAATTGTGGTGTCGAATGCCATCATTGGGTTTGCCGCGGACACAGGATCCTTCGGCTTGAACGGCTCTGCGCTCGCCTGCAGTTGTCGTGTCACTCGTGGTTGTTGCTGTTGTTGTTGTTGTTGTTGTTGCTGCTGTTGCTGTTGTTGTTGTGCCGTGGGTTGATGCACTTGCTGGGCCTGCTGAACCTGTTGTTGTTGCTGCTGCTGCTGCTGTTGTTGCTGCTGCTGTTGTTGCTGCTGTTGGGGGAGCTGTGGCGCCTCGTGGAGATCCTTCTCATCGACGCGGAAGTCGCCACTCTGTTGAATGTCAATCTCCTTGTACACATCGATCAGGCGCACCTGCACGACGGAGTGGATAGGGTGCATAGTGTAGTACTGCTCTATCTCCTTTAGTGTCACATTCATGTGCTTGCAGAGCACCTCGACCTCAAAGCGTAGCGTGACGCGGAGGTGCTTCAGGTTGTACATCTCCCACAGCAGACACAGCAGCCGCATCGTCCACGGGTTTGGTGGGCAGAAAAAGCGCGAGCTCATGCAGTGGTGCAGCACACGCGCAACGCACGACACAACCGCCATAAGTTTCCCCTCCCGCAAGCCCATGATGATGAGGTCCTTAAAGTTCAGCTCCTGTGCTGTGATGGGAATATTCTTCGCGAGTGTCAGCAGTCCCAACCAGTATCCAAGGTTTTTCAGCAGGCTGCGCTCGCCGGGGTCGGCGCGGATCTTGTCAGACGTCAGCAGCCGCTTGATAGAGGAAACGGTCGCGCTGCGTATCGCCTTCTCCAGCTGCTTCGACTGCAGTTTCTCTAAGAGGTCAAGATAGATACCATGGTAGTTCGGCTCCAGCGCCGCACGTTTAACCACAAGGTATTCGGCGAAGTACTCGTAGTACTCCGGCCGGAGCTGCTTCGACAGTTCACGGGCATTGTTTTCAATATTGTGCATGTCCGTATTACCAATAAGGAAGTTGATTTGCTCTTGAATAACGCGGGGCGGGGCGGTAATGTTATTCGACGACAGAAGCGTACCGATGTCGTGCTGGTGTAGTGTTGCCGCAGCGGTGCGCTCCTTCTGCTGCTCAGCCACCGCATTTGCCGCTGTTGCCGTGTCACGGCGTTCCGAGCTGACCGCCAGCACAGCAGGGTCGGAAAGAAGCGACTCCGCATCCTTAGGTAGCTTCTCTTGCTGCTGTTGTTGTGGGCGGTTTTGCAACTGCCGTGCCGTCTCCTCTATTTTAATGCCACGATTGATGGTGGCCATGATGCCGGGTATTTTGATGTCGAGGTCCTTCACATGGCGTAGTGCGCGGCCGTATTGAGGCCACTCAGCAAGACGCGGCTTAATCTGTTCAAGAGCAATGACGCCATACTCTTCCATAAAGTGGTCCGTTGGCTTAAGAATAACGGGGAGAAGCAGGCTCCATGCGCGTTGTTGCTGGTTGTGCGGCAGCAGTTCCCGTGCAATCAATTGGCCGTAGAGGGTGGCGAACAATTGAAGTTCCTTGTGCGGGTAGCAGCTAATAGCATTGCGCTCCTCGAACATGATACTTAGAATGCAGGCGTATAGCTGCTTGTCGCGGGGTTGGGCATTCTTCAGTAGCTGTTCAATAAAGGCCAGTGAAGCCGTTATAGTTGGGTCTCCTATAGCGTACATGCGCTTGTAGAATTCTGTGGCATCGTTCTCGACGTCTGGCGGGAAGAGTGAGTCGGAGGATGCCAGAAGAGCACGCGCCTGCTCCGCCACATCGCGCAGTACATCCTTCAGCGAGAAATCGAGGAGTGTGTTGAGGGCTGCTGTTGCGTTGGAGACATACTTCTGTTTATCTAGCAGCTGCTCCGCCACCTCCACTATTGACATGGCCACAGCGAAACGGTTCTCCGCTGCGTTAGCACGGAAGTGCAGCTTGCCCTCGAGCGCCTTGCTGATCCATGACTCGCCAGGCTCGCTGGACTCATCCATACACATCGCAATGGCCGTGACAAGCCTTGGGTTGCCTCCGCTCGCGAGAAACGCCTTGACAGCACTCTTCGATTGGAGCACGGTTCCCATGACCTCGATGGTGCGGCTCGTGTCAACGATCGTGAGCTCCGAGAGCACAGCGATGATGGCGTCGAGGCGGCCGCGCTTCTCCGCCTCCGGCAGGATGACCGCCGCCACGCGGTCGAGGTCGAGCCAGCGCTCCTTCAGGATAAGCTTGGCCGTGCTGAAGTTCTTCACCGTTCCGGCAAAAGTGCCGAAGAGGAGGACATAGAAGAGCAGCAGCGGATGCCGCTGCGCAGCGGGGCGCAGTGTTTCCATATCGAACGTGCGATCGCGGCTCGCAACGTGCACGGCCGCTTCAATAAAAGGAAAAGAGCGCCACAGCTCGGTCTCCGCTGCACGTGTAGGAGTAGCAGCAGCAGCAGCAGCAGCAGCAGCAGCACTGCCTGTGGAAGTAGGACTAGCAGCGGCATTACCCTCCAGCAGTTCCAGTGGCGCCATCTGATCNCGTGCACGGCCGCTTCAATAAAAGGAAAAGAGCGCCACAGCTCGGTCTCCGCTGCACGTGTAGGAGTAGCAGCAGCAGCAGCAGCAGCACTGCCTGTGGAAGTAGGACTAGCAGCGGCATTACCCTCCAGCAGTTCCAGTGGCGCCATCTGATCCCGAGGCAACGACTGCATCGAGACCTTGTCTGGGTGCTTCAAGATGTACTCAAGGGCGCTGCGCTGCCGCCCAACGTTGTTCCAGCGGCCAAGGAAGATTTTCACTGGCGGATACGTGCCCGGTGCCCCGGCGCCCTTGAACTTGTAGTATGCGTCAAAGACGATGGCGACGTGTTTCTGCTTGAACGCCTCCTCGCCAGGCTTGTCGAGTAAACGGAGGATGGCATCCCAGTCCATCTTACTCGCGCTCCGCTCCTGTAGCAGTTCGAGGAGCGGGATGGGAGATATAGTGGCACTGTGCTGAGCCTTCGTCGGCTCCCGCCCCGCCGAAGACATGAGCGCGTTATATGTATTCATGTCCGACGGCGCGCTGCCCTGTGAAGCGAAGAAGCCGAGTACCTCGGCCACATCACTCTCCGTGAAAGGGTGTGGGAAGAAGCTAAGCAGCTCGCGGCAGTCAGCCTGCGTCGCCACACACGCGGTGCCGAGCTCCCCTATGATCTTCGACAGGCTCACGTGTGTGTCGGCACGGCCGTCGTGTGGAAACACCGTCACGCCGCCGCACACGGCCGACAGCTGCGCGTCAAGGGCTTCCACTGTGCCTGCCTGTCGCGCCAACACACTGAGCGCCCACAGGCTGCCGTTGTCGTCCTTCAGCGTGGCAGGCGACACACTAAGGTCGCTAAGGAACGCCGTTGCCGCTTCCTTTCCCTTCGAGCCACCGACGAGGAGGCCCATGGCGAACTGCAGCTGCTGCATCAGAGAGAGTTTGAGGTCCTTCGTCATGAGGCTCGTGAGGGACTCCTTCGTCAGCGGTGTTGGTGACTCTTCCACGGCGGAAGAGACGAGTGTGAGGGCGTTACTCTTCTCCAGCGCCGTTGCAACCAGCTTGGAGGCGAGCGCGCACTTGTCCTCATTGGGGGTGGACCTCCACAGCGCAGATACGGCTGCCATGACAATGAAGCGATGCAACTCCAAGGACTGTGCGGCCATTTTATCGAGCATCTGCAAGGTTGACTGCAGTGTGCTCTTTGTTGCTGCGGCAACCAGGTACCGAACAGCAGCTCCGCGGGAGCTGCTAATGTCGGCAGTGTGCTCGTACATCATCGTGCCTGGGTCGTAAAAACTAGGCGTGCTCGTAGCTGGTCTTGTTGTTTTTTTGGATTTTGCAGTTCTTCTTATTTTCACTATCCGGCCACGATTGCTATAATACGTCTCGTCCTATATCAGTGCGTACGAAAACTCCTCGCTCTGTCCACACACGACTGATTTTTTGTCTACCTTCTCTTCACCCACCCACCTTTACTCCTGGGAAAATGATCCACGGTGGACGGAATTCACTGGGGTGAATGTTTTTCACACTCACAATGAGATTCCGGTAGCAACGTGAGTGAGTGAGTGGAACGCAACCCTGCAACCCACTCTACACCTATAACAACTCGTTGTATAGCCGTGCAGGAGGAGTGACACGAAGGACGGATCGTTTCCTATGTGGTGCACACGCCGTGTCGCCGACCGTGCAGTGTGAAATCCGTGTGTGCACTTGCCTACTTGTTTTCCGCACCCTCACTCCGGGTGTGTGTGTGTGTGTGCCTGCTGTACGAGTGGGCGAGGGGACTTATGATGCCTCACCCGCGTGTGTGTATATATATATATATATACGATGTGTATGTGTGAAAGATGGAGTGGAAGGGGAATAGAAAGGTAGGCGAACCAAGTGTTTTGCCGTTTTTTTTCCTTTTTTTTTCAATATCTTTTTTCCTTTTTCTTCTTTGAATTTCTTCTTTCCGCCCCTTGGGATTTCGTTTCTTTTTCTTGTTTTGTTTTGTTTTTTATTTTCTTTGTTGTTCTTGTTTTGATTTTACGTGCCTTTTTTTTTCCGCTTTTTCGGTCCCTTTGGTTTATTTTTTGTTTGTTTTGGAGGGGAATTTGTTTCGGGTTTCTGTGTGCTCCTGCAGCGAGAGTGTCAGAGAGAGAGAGAGAGAGAGCATACGAGAAGCACGTGGGGCGAAGGAGCGGAATATGGCAGCCATCAGATGAAACCGATGCCGACCCAGACACACAAGCACACACACACACAGAGAGAGAGAGAGAAACATGCAGAACCCTTTTCCGAGTGCCCCACTCAGGCACAGCAGCTAGACTNGAGAGAGAGAGCATACGAGAAGCACGTGGGGCGAAGGAGCGGAATATGGCAGCCATCAGATGAAACCGATGCCGACCCAGACACACAAGGTCACACAAGCACACACACACACAGAGAGAGAGAGAGAAACATGCAGAACCCTTTTCCGAGTGCCCCACTCAGGCACAGCAGCTAGACTGCCTACTCGAATCCGACGGCTTTTGTGCCACGGGCCGTCGTGGTGCCCGTAGATCCACCGCCCCCGCCGCCTTCCGCCCGGGCGTCCGCAGGCTGTCACTGTACAAATAGTCCTCCTTCAGAAGCACCCTGGCGCCGCTCGCCCCGTCTCGCAGAGGGGCACCACTACCGTACTCGGCCGTTCCTCCTCCTCCTCCTCTCACTGCTGTTGTTGAGTTTTCATTGTTTGCCTCTTCCTCTGGAAGCTCGCTCTCAATGCGCAGCTGCCCACGCCGCTTGAGTCTCCCGGGGGCACCGCCCACACCAGAAGCCGCACCAATGCCACTACTCCCACCACCGCTGCTGTTGCTGCCGCCACCAGCCACTATTCCGTTTGCCTGCGCTATTGCCGTCGCCATGGCTTGGAACACCTCTGCCACATTCGCTCCTGTTTTGGCGCTTGTCGAGAAGTGCAGCGCGCCGTGGGCCTTGGCGAACGCCTGAGCCGCCTCCTCCGTGACGTCGCGCTCCTCCTCACGGTCCGTCTTGTTGCCGCAGATAACGAGCCGAATCTGGTCCCCAACCACCGCGCGGAGCTCCTTGATCCACTGCCGTACCTTCTCGAGCGTGTCGCCGTCGGTGATGTCGTATACGAGCAACGCCCCGTTGGCGTTGCGGTAATAAATGGGCCCAAGCGCGTGGAAGCGCTCCTGCCCGGCGGTGTCCCAGATGTTCAGCGCCACTTTCGCACCGTTACCATGAAGAAGCGGCACGCTGGCGCAAGTGTACATGCTTGCCTGGACGGTGCTGCTCTGATCCGCGTCGAAGGCGTCATGGATGAAGCGGGAGATGAGCGATGTCTTGCCCACACGCCCCTCACCAAGGAGTACTACTTTGTACGCAGATGGCATGTAGACTGGCGGGGGCACAATGCACACACACACACACAGTTAAGCTATACCTGCGTATAAACGCACATCGCACCAGAGGTGAGTGGAACAGAAAAGGAATACAAGGGCGGAAACAGAAGCAGCTGTAGTCGTAGTAATAGTAATAGTAATAGCAGCTTATAGTGGGGAAGCACAGCAGATATCATTCCTGTCAGCGCGCGTGACATGCATGAACCAATATGAGTGCTACTCTTTTCTTAATTGCCCCCACCACCCACTACCACATCTCTTCCTTCTGGCAGGCTCATTCGACGTGTGCGTCTCCCTTTCACTCGGACACAACATCCAGAGTGTCCCTGCAGCGTTGGCACACCACTTCCCACGCAACTCCCTCCATCCTGCGCACAAAGCGAAAGATTGGCACATCCACACTCTTACCTACTCACGATAAAGAACCAGCTGCTGTTGGTGCTTCAGCCGCGTGGAGACTTTAACAGCATGAGCGCATTATGAGCGGATGGGGCAAGTCTTGCTCAGATCAAAAGGGGTATTGCGTTTGGCGCACCACTCCCTCAATCCTTCGCGTTCCTGCTGAACCCCATGGAGCCTTGGAGAAACGAGGTAGGGGCGAGAAATCAGGAATTCCGCTCAGACAGCTGTACTCGCTTCTGTGTATCCCAGCTGTCCGAGTTGTGCGGCAGCAAGGTGCATTGGGAGTGGTGGGGGGAAAAAGCGATGGCAAAGAACTCCTGTGTGTTTCAACTTCTCTCCAGATGTAATACAGTTGTTCTACTGCGCAGCAGGACCCTGCACCGTCAGCCGCGGCAGAGGAGGCATGTGGCGTATTGTTGTTGTTCTTGTCGATGTTTTTTTTTTCTGCTGCTACCGTTGAGCCCTGCAACAAGCCATGCTGTGTGGAAGCACCACCATCGTAATCATAATCACCCTAACCGCGTCACCAGACTCATCAATGCTTCCGCTGCACAACGCGTAGGCTCCGACAGTGGAGGAACTCCAACGCATTGCGCTCCATTTGCATTTCCTCGGCGTGCTTTTCACGGCACTCCGGTTGCTGGCGGAGTGCAGATAGCGCCTCCCGCAGCCGCGCCACCTCCAGCCGCGCGGACGTGGTTGCGTTACTGGCTGGCTGCCCCACCGCCGTTGCCTGTGCGCTGCATGCAGCGGCGTCCGTGAGCACCGTATCAAATGTGACGAGCGGTGCCTTCTTTTTCTTATTCCCCTTCTTTGCGGTGCTCCTGCTGTGATGTCCCCCACCAGTGTCCCGCAGCGGCAACAGAATCTCCTCAGACGCATCCTCATCATCGCCATTCCCGTCGTCTTCGCCGCCCTCCTGACGCTGCTTCTGCACCGCATCAACACCACGAAGCTGCCATATGCGCAACTCGGCTTTAAGGGCGGCATCAAGTGAGTACCGGATGGCCATGTTGTGCTCCACCTGCGCCTCCAACTGTGCCTGCAACTTCGCACTCCCCGCAACGTTGACGCCACTGTCACTGCCAGCACCACCCACCCGAGCGCTGCGGCGAAGAGAAGCCCACAGGTCACTGAGCTGCTCCTTCATCCTCGTCGCACGGAAGCGCGTGAGCACATTCTGCAGACGCCACATGTCACCGTCTGCTCCCGCGTCTCCCTCATGTTGCTGCCACTTCCGCTGCTGCTGCTTATGCTGCTGCCACGTGGATTCGTCGTCCGCAATCGCACTCATCAAGTCTGCGTTCAGCTTCTGCTGCTGCCGCGACGCAGCTTCTATTGTCAGGCATCGTGCAACCAGCGATCCTAGCCGTGCAAGCTGCTGTGCACTAGAACGCATGCGTGAGTCCATCCCACGCAGGTGCTGCAACCCCTGGCACAGCTGCCGGTATGCGTTGTGGTACTTGGGATGACAAATTTGAGCGTCAAGGGTGGCGTGAAGACCGAGAGCGACGGTCTGCTCCGCGCGCTGGTGGAGCGCGCACTCCAGACGATTCAACGAGAGCGTAATAAGACGTTGCATAGACAGCACACGACGTGTGAGGTCGGGTAAACTCATTTCTGCTGTTGCTGCTGTGATGTTACCCTCCTGATCGAGAGGGAGGAGTTGCTGCAGCTGCTCCAGGCGATGGCCAATGTACTCCTTCTCCACAAAAGACGCCGGCGGCCACGGCACCGCGTCGGGAAAACAGCGAAGCAGTACTGAACCTGCAGAGTCTTTTCGCACAGCGGCGTTACATTCAGCTTCCACTGTCTCGTTGCAGTTATCCGTGCCATCCTGTTCGTCACCTACAACAGGAACCTGTCGGAGCAGAAACGAGCCCATGCGTTGGAGCTGCACGTACTCGGCCACCGCAACAAGTTGGTACTCCTTGGTTATCCAAAGCAGCGCTAAAAGCAGCTCGTGGATGGATCCGTTCAGAGGCGTCTGCTCGTAGAATGTGTCTCGTTTGTAGCCCAATTGGGCGAGCGTGCGTACCACAAAATACCACGACGTGATTGGTGGCGGCACTTCCAGTCGGCCACCAAATGGCGTGGTGCGACGCCGCAGTCGTTCAAGCAGCTCTGCTCGTTTAGAAGTGCTGCTGCCAGTGGCATCTGCTCCTCCTATGGAAGATGATGAACGCTGCCGCCGCTCCTCGATCGCTCCGTCCAGTTCCGAGTGGCGACAGGACTCCCGCAGGCTAGCTGGAGTCAGCCGGTGGTGGGGCTCGCGATGTCCTAGTTGCTGTGGTTTTTGCTGTCTCTGTTGTTGCCTTTGGCGTCGTATTTCAGTTCCTTCCTTTATTTCCGATCGCGTGTGCCACTGCAGCCGCACAGGGACGTAGCCGTTGTCATCGTTGTCATCGGCTTCCCCCGAGTCCTCTGAGAGCAAAGAGAAATCGTCGTATACCACGTCATATCGGTCCTCTACGCCGCCGGTAAGACACTCCAAATCCTTCGCGGTGAATGTCTGCCGCGTGCCTGGTGCCGTGACGCAGTAAAACACCGCGTTGAAGAGCACATGCCAGAGGCCGCGGCGAAGCATCTCGTCGCTCGAGTGATACCGCTGCTCTTCTTGTTGTTGTTGTTGCTGCACTCTGCTCGGAGAGGCGTCTAAAGATGTCAGGGTCTGTTGGTAGTATTTCTCTAGTGCGGAAACGAAGGAGAAGATGCTCTCCTCGTCCTCGTGCGCATCGCCGCTCTCCGTCTGTAGAGATGCAGAGCCTGCAACGCCGTCGTGTGGCAATCGCCGCTCTCGACTCTCTACCTGCTCTACTGGCGGATCGACCTCGAACGGGGGCAGTGAGAAGAAACCGAGGGTCGCCCAGATATTCAGCGCCACATCCTGTACGCACGAGGTGTCGTGTGCCGGCTTCGTCGCGCTCCGCTTGCTGTCACTGTGTCTCTGCATCGACGGCGGCGCGGCGTGCGTTGATTGTGAATGGCAGTGCAAAGCATTTTTCCCAACAGCTGCCGCCTCTGCTGCCTTGAATGCTGATGTTTCTGTCGCGGTGCATTGTGGTAGATGAGGCCCCGGCACCCCATCCTCCCGAAGGTGGCGCTCATCTGCGAGCTTCACAGCCAACCCGCGCAGCTCACGCGCAAAGCTGTTAAGTGCACCGCTGAACTCATCATGCTCATCCATCTGCGGCACGGCGCTGCTACTCCCTGGCGGTGGAGTGCTGCGAGCCTCTCGCTGAGCTTTGTTGTCGCTCAAGACAGCAGTCGTTGTCAGGAGCGTTGGGTCGACTACCTGCGCCGCATCCATCGCCGTGGCTCGTTCACGCGAGCTGCAGGTACCACTGTTATTGTTGAACGATATGATAGGCCGTCCACGGGGTTGGCGGCCGGCCTCGGTGCTCATGCGGCGCCGCTATTGCTGCCCCTCTCCCCCCTCCCCCGAGTAGTAAGAAGGCGCAACGCACACAGCGAGCAACACAAACGAATAAAAGAAGGGGGAAAAGCGACACTCCACGGAGAAGCATAACGAAGAGCCTCAGCCCCAGCGTGAGTAAGAGCAGTGACAACAGCAGACCCCGCTGTGGAGGGAAACCTCAACCCGTTATCTCAGGCCAAACTCTCAGCAGTAAAGAAGGGGAGAGAGGAAAATAAAAAGGGAATCGGTGGGTGAAGGGGTAAATGTGTAGAAACGGGGGGAATTCGCGGGTGTGTGAAGAGCCATATAGACGATGGGGAAACAGACGTTTGACCACGTCACCACCCTGCAAAGCAAGAGGGGGCTGTGATGAGTGGATGCGTGCGGGAGGCAACACACCGCCGCCGCCGCAACCGCAACCGCAACCGCAACCGCCGCCACACAGACACACCCAACCACACAGCGCTTTAGCAACTCTGGGAAGATGAGAGGGTGAAAAGACGGAGGCGAAGTAAAGAAAAAGCCAATCATGGGGGAAAAAAAAAACAAAGAAAGAACGACAACACACAAAGCGAAGGAGGAACACAAGCAAAAAAAAAAAAAAA